TCTCAGCAAGGAACATGCTATACAAGCTTATCCTAGGTTCATTCTGGGCTGGTTGATGAGTTAACTATTTTAAGCTCTTCCGGCACTTGTAGACATTTAAAGCCTTAATACGATTTTTTTTCAGGTCACTTGCTAGTGAACCTTGGAAAGATTTGGCAGGTTGGCTTAATGCTTGTCCAAAGTCGGACTCAGCACCTTTATCCGGAAACTGGAGGAAAAACAAAAAAGATGGAATTAGTCTCGGGAACCTCATTGAGAACACGATGGCCACATATTTGTTGTTTTCTGCTGTCTCTATAGTTACGATCTAGCCAACTGTATTTCTAGAAGGTAATCGTGAGCTCATCTTAGTGGCCTTATTGTTTTCATCGCTCATTTTAATTAATAATCTGCCTCTGTTATTCAGTCAAAAATGGAATCCACTTCATTGATGTCTCGAAACATTGGTGCCTCTCTGCTTACTTACTTTCACGTTTTCTTCCTTGCTTTCATTGATTCATTTTCAATGAGAAGTAAGATAACTCATTCGTGGGGTTTTCCCACAGTTAAAATGTACCTGGAATTAAAAATTATGAAAGTATTTGAAAACAGTGACCTCAGATAATTTTCTACAATTTAGATGTTAAAAAATAACTAAATCCAAGCTTGTCCCCCTAGTGAATTACACTGCGAGGAAAGAGAATTTCAAGGTGGGAATAAGAATCAACTCTTGTAACTGATGAATAAAATAGATCCAGAGACATAGAAACATGGAACAGACAGATGAATTTCAGAGGGAAGGTGGGGGTGGGTAGGAGGGTGGGGAGTGATTAATCAGGGAACTTATATGCATATATGCATAACCCATGCACACAGACAATAGTGTGGTGAAGACCTGGGAGGAGAGGGTGAGGGGTGGAGGGGGTCAATGGGAAAAAAACAAAAACAAACAAAGGGACATCTGTAATATTTTCAACAATAAATATAAATTTTTTAAAAAAGAATCAACTCTTGTAATATGAGAACAGAATTCCTTTATCCTTAGTATGGACTTTAATAGAGAAGGATTTAATAGATATTGGATAATTGGTGCATGTTGCTGGTTCTGATGGTTAATCCAAGACTTAATGGGTTTCTTTCTTATTTTCTTTTTTAACAGGAGACTGCCTTCAGTTTTTTGCTATGTGGGTCTCCCCAACATAGCTGCCTCCTCATCAAAACCAGCAAAGGAGAGAGTATCCTGGGAGGGGAGATGTTGCATCTTCCATAACACAATCAGGTGAGTGAGATCCCATCACCTATACATATTCTATTGAGTAGAAGCAAGTGATTGGTCTTGCCCATACTCAAGGGGTGGGGGTTACACCCAGATGTGACTACCAGGCAGTAGGGAGCATGGGGGGCCAACTGAGTGTTTGGTCTCTTTAGTCAGATTTCCTGGGTTCAAATCCTGGCTGTATCACATACTAGTTCCATGAACCTTAAGCATCTTATTAATCTCCAAGCCTTAATTTCCTCAACCGAATATGCAAAGTCTACTCACACCATCATCACAGGGTTATTAAATTCCAGCAGTTCCAAATTTCCACCATTCTTGTGCCATGTTCATACTTGTTATCTAATTTGTATGCCTCCCAAAATATCATTCACTTGCGTAATTTTGCCTTTAAAATGTAAATCAACTTATTTACAAAGCAAGTTTAATAATACCACTAGAAATTTAAAAAGAACAAGTATTACCAGAAGCTAATTGTAAACATACGTATTATCAGTAATAAAAATTATTAGTTGCAAAATTCATCTTGCACGTATATTGTGGGGAGCACTATGCACCCTTAATAAAAACACTGAAAAAATCAATGTAATATAAGCACACAGTTAGTGCTCAATAAATGTAAGCTATTCTCATTACATATCTCTAAGTTTGGCACTCAGAAGATACTGTGTATAGATGGACAAATACATAACACAAGCTGTTGGCAGGCACTGCAGAAAGTTAGGATTCTCTTCCTGTGTGTGTGGACTCAACTTCAGAATCCTTCTCAATACTGAGTTTCAGGCAGCCATCACTAATCTACAGGTGTTGGCAAGTACCAGAGGACACCTGCTGGCTTCTGATAGGTGTCACTTGGTATAAAGAGATCAGGGTATAATAAATGAAGAAGAATCAACAATAAATGAACTGAAAGAGGAAAACATCTTCTCAAAAAGGAAACCAATGAAATGAAAAACAATTACAAAGCATTTGTCATTCAGCAACATGCAGTCAACTCTGGACTCAATATTAATGTTGACTTTGAGACCTCTTTCTTCCTCACCTTGCTGCTCAGCATGTGTAGAAAGTACCTCACACTCATTTTCACTGAAGCAAAATGAATCTGGGAGGGAAAAGCACCTACTGTGCAAATCCTTTCATTAATTCTAATTCGTTCGGTCCTGGGAGTTGCACTGCTTGGAAGGCCCATGTGCAAAGCATACTGAAGATGAAGATTCTGCAAATATTTTTTTTTTTTTTTTTTTTTTGCTGATAAAGGGAGGTTTGCAGGGCAGAACAGTCATGGGCAGCAAAAGTGATTAAGTCATTTGGATCAATGTCCAACCCAGGAGATTAGAGAAAGCTCAACAAATTAGGTTGAATCATAAATGGAGCCTTGGCTTTCAGCCAGCCTTGGCTCAAACAACAGGCTTAAGCTAAATATTTGCTGATAGGTTAATAGACAGGACACAAGGTGTAGGGGAATGAGCAGGGGCTGCGGAGTCAGAGATCAGGGTTTATGTCTAAGGTTTCTGCTTACTGTGTTTCCCTGAGCAAGATATTTGACTTCTCTGAGCCTGTTAAGAATGGGAAGGCTCCCAGGTCCCTGGCAAGGCCGTGTGAGGAATGTTAGGTCAAGGTGTAGGAAAGGGTCAAAACTGGCACCAGAGTTTAGCCAAGTCTATGCCTAAAATGAACCATCACAATTGTGTGGGGCAAGTGAGCTAAGGTATTTGAAGGTACGTCTGACTCATGGAAGAACTCAGGGGAAAAAGTTACATGTATCAGATATGTTTTATTATAGATTATATTTTATATTTACTTACATTTAATATCTAGATTAAATGTCATAATTTTGTAATACTGTATATTAATGTTCTATATCCACCATATTTCATCTACAGCCTTCAGTCCCTGGAGGGCATCTGCATGTTCTCCTCGGCCTTCTGAGGAAGCGTGTCCTGCTCTCGCTGATGCTGGGTTAGGCACTGGGAAGCCCTTGAGGAATGGTAGGCAGTGGGAGGAACAGCATGCAAAGGGCTGCTGCAAACGTTACCAAGAAGGGCAATGAGGTGGAGAAAGACATTTGCTTAGAGCAGCCGTGGGCAAACTACGGCCCGCGGGCTGGATCCGGCCCGTTTGAAATGAATAAAACTATTGAAAAAAAAGACCATACCCTTTTATGTAATGATGTTTACTTTGAATTTATATTAGTTCACACAAACACTCCATCCATGCTTTTGTTCCGGCTCCGGTCCAGTTTAAGAACCCATTGTGGCCCTCGAGTCAAAAAGTTTGCCCACCCCTGGCTTAGAGCCTATTGTGAGCTCCAAGCCAGGTATCATGGGGACAGTGGCAAACAAGCCCCTGTCCTCATCACACCTACATTCGTGTGTGTGTGTGTGTGTGTGTGTGTGTGTGTGTGTGTGTGTGTGTGTGTGATGTATGTGTAGGTGGTATCAGTCACATAATCATACACATCACGTCAACACGCCATCATGGGGAGTTAGGAAGGAGAGGGAGGTGCTGTGGGAGGCGGGGCACGGACCCTGGAGCCACCACCCTCTCCGTTTCCTCAGGTGTGAAATGGGGGAATTCTAATCCCAGCTGTATGGTGGGTGTGAGGACTCATGCATTCGTGTGTATCAGGTGCTCACAAGGACGTCGGGTGCAGGGCAGTCAATACTAGTAAGTGCCAGTTATTATGATCATGAATACAACGCTGTTGGTCAGCGTCCACTCTAGGCCACATGCTCAGGAAAGCGTGGGGTAGCTGACACTGCCGTTGCATCCCCCTAGCTTCCAATGCTTCGCTCCTGTTGGCTGGCACCTGGGGAGCCCTCCTCACAGACCTGCTGTGGCTGCTTTGCATGGACAGGTGAGAGTTAGAGTACCTGGGAGTTCACATCCCCGCGGTGCAGCCCAGGTGCCTGGCCACCAGGAGAGCAAACAGGACAGGGCTGTCGCTGTCAGCTACACTCTGAGCTCCCAGGATCAGGCTGAGGTTGCTCCCCACCCCCCATCTCGCCCCCCATCCTGCGCTAAATGGCACCCTCCTTTGGCTCCTTTCCTGTCCCTCATAGGTGTCCCGGGAATCACTTCTCTAATGAACCCTGGTCCCAGATCAGCGTGTGGAGATCTTGGTCATCAAGGAAGCTTCCTGCAGGAAGCTTGAGGGGGACTCTGAGGGTGCAGAGCAGGAGAAGGAAAGAGGCAGAGGAAGATGCCAGGAGGAAGGACAGCAGGTGCCAACACTCAAGGGCAGGTAGCCTTTAAGAAATAGGAGCTGGCAGGAGCCAGTGTGGCCGGAGTCTGGGGCACACAGGGTAGGTGGTCTGGTGCCCATGGGTCAGGGGCCTCCTTCACAGGACACCCAAGTCCAGCTGGAGGAACTGGCTTTCGTAAGGCAATGGGAAGCCACAGAGGCAGAAATGAGACATGATGAGGTTTGGGTCTTGAAAAGACCAACATGGCAGGGGGACGAGGAACAGACTGGAGGGAGGCAAGATGGAGGTCAGCTGGGAGTTTCTGCTGTGGTCCAGGTGGTGGGGAAAGAAGCAATGGACTGGAAAAGTATTTAATCGGCATAAAAGGGAAAATTATTTTGCCATTCAAATGATCATTTTGTTATTGAAGTCCGGATTTTCGTAAAGGTAGGTTTTGTGATACACAGCTCGTGAAATGGCCACTTGAGAATTTTTCTAGTAAGACAACATTTGAATATTAAAATTTCTTTGTAACAACTGCAATGAAGAGGAAACATCTGTCAAATTTTAAAACCTTTATTCTTACTTTCAGAGAACTCTAAAAAGATACACAGATGAAATCTGACAACACATGGATTTAAAATTCTAAAAATAATTTCATAGCAGGAAGAAAGCTTATACTTACTTCAGCAATATGTATATATTTATTCAAATACTAGTATAAAGATATAAATGTATACTTCTGAAATACTTTAAAAATATAACCTAAAAAGGAAAATCTTTATAAAATATACAGAAATATATAGTACACCTTTGGGAAAAGTGGTAGTAAAAATATGTGTAAATAAACCATATGTAAACAAGTTTTAAGAAAAATTTTATAGGTATTGCAGAAATCTCTATGCATTTTCCATTTATGAAACCATACTGTCCTAAGGAGTTCAAGTCATAGAAGATGGGTTACACAGGGTCGACAAAAGTAGGTTTACAGTTGGGAGTATGCAAAAGAGTTTATTCTTGTATTGTTATTTATTAATTATTTGAGCAACTGTAAACCTACTTTTGCACTGTCCCATATAGTTAATCTATAATGTATGTACACTTTGCTATTGTCCCATTCTATAGATGGGGAAATTAAGGCATGGGAAGTCACTAAATGTTTTTAAACTGTACTGAACAATAATATTGCCCCAAATCACAGATCATAAATGAAATACCACACATTTTAAAAAATGACATAAGCAAATTGCTATTAAAATACACCCATACACATACAATTTAAAACTGTTGCTCCAGCTCCTTAATGCCATAGAAAAGATACATGCACTAAATAAAGAACTTCAGGATCCTTTAACCTAATGATGCCACAGTAAGCCATTAAGGTCTTCTTAGAGAGGAGATTCTGACTTCATTAAAGCACTTCTTAAAATAGAGGTGTCCTCTCATTTCCCAGTGATGCTCCTACTTCAAAGTGCAGTGCCCCGGGGACCTAATAACTTCAGCCAACATTTGGCTTTGCTGATGTTAGTAAGCAAATGTTTTTCCAAATAGCACATTAAGCAGAGTTATAATAAATGGACCGTCAATATTACCCCGAGCCCCAGACAATGGAGCTATGGCAGGTGTCTCATTGTGATTCTGTAAACTTATTCGGGAGCAGGAAAGATTCGAGGGAGAGCTGGGAGGGGCAGGGACAGACACATTTGACTTGCACCCGACTAACTGACATGGAAAATGCAGGAGGAAGCAAGATCCTGGGCCATTTAAGTCAGGATGGAGCTGACATTGGTCAAGTGTAGGCCAGCACTGTACCCTGTGGAGTGCCCGTATTATAGCACTCACTCCGCTCCCCTGGGTCAGCTATCTTCACTGCTGTCACGGACAGTGCAGCTTCTGGAGCAGCTGAACAGAAGAAAGAAATCAACACAGCGTCTAAGGGTCCCATGTGCCTGTGAAATCCGCTGCTGAGTCTTGCGGGAGCCACAGCACCATTCCTGCAGGAGAATAAAAACTGTTGCTCCAGGTCTTGGTAAAAATAAATAAATAAATCTGGAAAATAAAGTATATTCTAATGGTATATCAAAGAAGTGTAATTAAATGAGGAATTATCTGCAAAAAAAAAAAAATGCTTAAACCAGAAATTGTCTTGGGCTCTTGCCAAAGGTGTGGTTCATCAACAGAAACATGCATACTGTCCTTGCTGGAACCTGGGAGTTTCAAAATTCAGCTAAAATTCCTTCATTTTTCTACTTGATTCAGTGCTGTTGAGATGCTCAGCTTTGAATATATTGCATCTTGGGACCAGACACCTGGGGAGGGATTCAGTGAGGCCTCATTCAGAAATTCCACCTGTAACTGTGTGTTTCCTTAAATAGCGGCCTATCAGCGAATGCCCCTTAACTCAGTTAGCAAATAGCCACTAGTTCTAGGCAAAATTGTAGGAGATTCTGTTGAAAACCAGAACGGTTGAAATTGAGTTTGAACATTAACATGGAATTCTATCAGCTTGTGTGTTGGAAATGTTATATTTCCGCAGAAGATGGTATTAGAGATTTCTCAGGCTAACTTTTTCCCGCTTCAATAATGAACAGTGTGTGCAGGAGAAGTATTACATTGTGTTTAATACAGGCTGGTATATATACACACACATATGTCCGGGGTCTGTAAAGAAAGGCCCTGCGGCCAAAAAGTGCCCACCATCTGTTTTTATAAAGTTTTATTGGAATGCAATCTTGTGAGGCAGAATAATGGCCCTCAAAAAAGCCTGTGCCCTAGTTCTCGGAACCTGTGAGTATATTTCTTTACATGGCTACATATGACTTTACATGAATACATTGCTTTGCATGCCTTTGCAGATGTGATTAAGGTTATGGACGCTGAGAGGGGAGATTATACTGAATGACAGCCTGTCAGAGAGATAGGACAGAGGAGGGGGAGAGTTTCGAGTCTGCAGAGGGACTCAGCTCACTCCCAGTAGCTGTGGAGAGGGAGGAAGAGGTCATAAACCCAGAAATGCAGGTGACTCTAGAAGCTGGGAACAGCTCTCAGCTGACAGCAAGGAAATGGGGAACCTCAGTCCTACAACCACAAGAAACCAAATTCTGCCAACAACCCCAATTAGCAAGCAGATAGATATTCCCTGAGAGCCTCCTGAAAGAACCGCAGCCCTGCCAACATCCTGATTTTTAGCCTGGTTAGAGCTGTCTCGGACCTCTGACCCAAAGAACTGTAACACAATACATTTCTGTTATTTGACGAATTGCCTGAGGCTGCTTTGAAGCTACAAGGCAGAGTTAAATGGATGTGAGTGAGACCTTATGGCCTGAAAAACCTGATATATTTGCACGGTGGCCCTTTACAGAAAAAGCGCGTCTGCCCGTGATATTAAGCGCAAAAACTGGACAGTAGCGTGCATGACTTGAACACTTAGTCGATGCCAGGCTCTGGGCTAAGTATTTATTATCCATATCAACCTTCTGGATGAGTACTACTTTGGTTCCGTGTTACAAATGAGAAATTTAAAAAAGGAGGCAGAACGGTTAAGTAACTACCCAAGGTCATCCAGGGAATTGGAGGGGAGCAGGGTTTAAGCCAGGGTCTGGTTGACTTCTGGGCTCGGCTCACCCCTGTCATGCACAGCATCCCATACGCTCACCTGGGGCCGCTTATCGCTGGCAGAAGGCAATGGGGAGCTCCCGGCTGGGCACCAGGATGCCTAAGTGCAGCATTTCCACGGGCTCGTGGTCTGTGGCCACAATGTCATATTTGCGGACGATCTGGAACACAGGTGCACGAAAAGGAGGATGAGCCCTCTGCCCCGCCTTGGGGAGCAGCACAGAACACGTGCGGGAGGCAGTGAGGGCTTACCCAGCAGACGGCCAGGTGGAGCTGGAGCTCAGCCAGCCGGCGTCCGATGCACATCCTCTTCCCAACGCCAAACGGGAGGTGTGCGAAGGGGTTGATCTTCTCTTTCTCCTGAAGCCATCGTTCGGGCCTAAACTGACTGGCGTCTTCAAAATTTTCCTCGTTGGACCCCAACACCTGGGTATTTAGCATCAACACTGTCTGCAAACACACCAAAACGCGTGCATTTAAAATAAGCAGAAGAAGGTGGTGGAAAAGCGAAACTTAACAAAAACGGCCACCTTAGAGATATAAAAGTCACCCATAAGTTTATAATAATGACGATTGCCAACATGCACTGGAGACTTGAAATGTGCCAGGTACTAAATCGGTAAATAACTTTAATATTCTGCATCACATTCTCACCACAGCCCCAGGTGATGGATTTTATTATTATCCCCATTTTACAGATGAGAACGGTGAGGCTGCCAGAGGTTATGTGACTCACTTGGGACTGTACTTGAGTCCAGGTCCGTCCCCATAGCCATTATTCCTAATCCTATACAATGCAACACATGTCAACTATGCACTACAATCTACTTATTTGCAAAATGAATGTTTTCTCCGTTAGTATTTTTAGGGGAACCGGATGCATATTTCAAAGCTCTGTACGGGACAAAATAAACAAAGTCTACTCACTCCTTTGGGTAAAGCATAGTCACCCAGAACTGTGGCCTTGTCAAGAGTCCTGGTTGTGAACGGCACACTGGGGGTGAGCCTGGAAAAGCAAAACCAAAGATGTACAGGCGGGCACAGGCCAAGCGCTGGCTCAAGTGTTGATGGGAACGCATTCTGCTTAAGTGAAGAGTTGGTGCATTAAGATCCTAAGCCCAAAGGGGAACCTGGTCACAGTTCTTCGTGAAGAGGTTCTGTCTCCTGGTTTTATTCCTTATTTTATTGGGTTGGCACCCCCTCCCCCCGGAACAAGCCTGCTTAGTAGCTGTTCAGAGTGGTTTCCCCTGCTTCAGCCTAAACTTCAAATGCCTTCCCCCTGAATCTTGGTGTTTGTTCTAGTTTCTCCTACTCGCTCTTCAGAAAGTTAAAGGTGTTTCCTTTTAATCCGAAAATGGAATGAGTTTTGTTTCCCAGAAAGGGTGTAAAAGGAATTTTCAAAGGACTTTTATTTATTTATTTATTTATTTATTTATTTATTTATTTATTTATTTATTTTTGTTACTCCTCACCTGAGCATATGTTTCCATTGATTTTTAGAGAGAGTGGAAGGGAAGAGGGAGTGAGAGAAAGAGAGAGAGAAACATGGATGTGAGAGAGACACATTGATTGGTTGCCTCCCCCACTGGCTTGAACAGGGCCAGGGATCAAACCTGCAACCCAGGTACGCGCCCTTGATCAGGAGTCGAACCCTCAGCTCCTTGGTGTGTGGGCCGATGCTCTAACCACTGAGAACATTGACCAGGGCTTCCAGGACATTTTATACCAGAGGCTCAATAATAAATATGTCTCTATATCGATCATATAATGATATGGTTCCCTCATTGGCTTTCATGTCAGACCCTCCAGGCCTGCCCAGACCCTAATGGGTGCTCACAGCACCCATGAAAGGATGGTTCTTACCAACTTAAAGGGCCCGTCACTGACTTTCCAAGATGTCACAGAATTCTCCCAAATGACTCAGGAAATGAGTGAAAACAAATGGAATATGCTCCTGAGGTTCTTTTTTTTCCAGTTTGGTAAAAGTTTAAGAATCCACTGTGGCAGCTGTACTTGGGGGAGGGAACCCCTCATTGTGTATTTAAGAGAACAGCCCTCTCCCGTATGCACCCTGGCTCAGGCGTGCGCGCTTACCTCATGGATTCCTTCAGACAGGCCTTTAGATACGGCATAGTCCTCACATCCTCTGCCCGCGGCGCCTGGTTCTCCGGCAGGGTGCTCTGAATTTCCTCCAGGAGCTTTCCTTGCACGTGGGGGTTGCGGGATAAATTGTAGAGAAGCCATAGCAAGCTGTTTGCTGTCTGAAAAACCAACGGACACAAGCTTGAGTTTCTGCAAAGAAACCGCCTCACAGCCAGTCTGAGCCGGACGCAAGGCGATGCAAAAGTAAACAACAAACAGGTCAGTGATACTTCCTCGCATGCCCTCGTGTGCTGTGCCTTAAATGAATGCCACGCATGGGAAGTCAAACGGCTCTTATAAAATGTATCAACGAAGGCTAGCGTCTGTATTGAGGGAATGAACATAGAATCCTGTGAGTAATTTGCCACATCAGGACACCTGGAACGTAGTGTGGTACGCAAAAGGCTGGAGCACAAAGCAGCACATGTAAAACGGGTGGAAGGGAAGCCAGGCGGTGGACTGGCTCAAGGCCAATGTCAGGGTGTGACACGATTATTGTCATGCCAGGTGCTACCAACGGGGGAAGGACACTGCCTGTGAATCTACAATTATCTCAAAAGAGAAAGAGCTTACATAGAGAATTATTAATATAAAATTGATATGAAAATTGAGTGGGGAGAGAGGAACAGAGATCCCAGAGTTTTGCTATAAGAGATTTAAAAAAATTTTTTTTGACAACGCAAACACAAAAGAAATCGTATTTCTGGAATTTAAAAGAAAAGTGGTGTGTATTTTTTTGCCACACCCTAAACATTTACCACAAAAATATAAAGGTATTATCTACTCTCGGGGTTCCAGCCACATGCAAAGAGCCCTTGTGGGACGGTGCCAACACCCAGATGAGAAATTGTAGCACCGAGCTGAGCCATTCAAGGTGCCGGCCACAGTCTGACAAAGGCTCTTGCCTTCCAAGTGGCACCCTTGATTTCCTTTTGGCAGAAAAAGCCAAGTGCAGCTTTTAGCTTCGTAATATTCACCACTGCTAGTCCTAAGTATTTGTTTCGTAGGCCTTTTTTTAGCCAATTTAAGCCAAGTAGTCCCTTACAAGTGGTCATCGTGTCCTCGCTCTGTAGACACGAAGACGCTCTCCCTCGGCACATGTGCCAGGCACATGAACGAGCAAAGCGCAAGACGGTGCGGAGCCATGGCGTTTATTATTTTTGGAAGAAGATGTCCCCAAGGCAGGCTTCTTCATGTCAGGGGACTGGCAGCCTCGCCTCCGAATGTGGACGGATGGCATTAGTACCAGAGAGTAAGTTACAGACAGGAAGAGGGCGGAGCCGCCAAATTAGATAGATTTCAGATTTCCCCGATTTGCCAAAGGAGAGTTTCAGAATAGCCAGGACTAAAAAAGAAACAGATTGAGCCCTATCAGTGGGGCCCTCACCACAAGTACCAAATAGAGTTTCCAAAAGGCAGATAACTGTAGCTTTCACCAAAGCCCGGAGACAGCCCTGCCTATCGGGCAGCTGCGGGGGCTCAGTGGAGGGGAAGTGGCCTGCGGAACCTCCCGTGCACCGACTGTCCTGGCCTGACCTTCGTCACGGCGTCCATCTCATGGCCGGCTTCCTGCCTGCACTCTGTCTCCGCTAGGTCCACTCTCCACCCACCAGCCAGAGCCCACTTCACAAAACATAACTTTGATCAAGACACTCCTTGCTTAAAGCACTCGAAGAGCTTTCTCTCTCAGGTGTAATAAAATCCAAATGTCGTACGAAGGCTCCTGGTTAACATGGCCCGTCGACTTCTCCAATCTCAACTCTGAGCACATTTGCTAGTTCTCCAGCTCCATCTCTCTTTCTGCCCCAGGGCCTTTGCATGTGCTGTTTCCTCTACTTGGAGTGCTCTTCGACCAGATCTTCCCATAGATGGCACCTCAACATCCCAGTGTCAGCTCCAGAGAGGGAGCCCTCCCCCATCTCTCTTACATCACCCTGATGGCTCCCCCCATGCCTATACCACTATCTGAAATAATCCTATGTATTTGTTTGTTTACATGTCTATTGTCTGTTCCGCACTGCTGTTTAAGTCCCATGAAGAAAACTGGTTCATGGTGGCATGTCAAGAATCTGGAATAGTGCCTGGCACATAGTAGGAACTCAATAGTCCCTGAACTCTTTCATTTATTGAACAAACATTTATTGAGCACCTACTGCATGCCAAGTGGTATTCTACATCCTATGAATACAGCAGCGGACCAAACCAAGTCACCATCCTTATGGCGCTCACGTTCCAGTTGAACAAAGAAATGGGTGCAGCTTTAGTTTTAATCGCTCTAAGGAGTCATGATCCCACAGGAAAGTGAGCTGAAACGGATTCCCACTTTTGATAGCCCTCTGGGTCACGAGGTGAACGCAGAACCTTTCTATCTCCTAATGTAGAACATGCTATTTTTTCTTCTTCAGGTAAGAGACACTGTGGAAAGGGAAAAAGCATGGAAAAGAAGTGAACTTGTATGGATTCTTCTTAGGGACTGCTTGTGCAGGAAATGTTAGGCCTTTGAGGAATATTAATCTGCATGACTCTAAGGAGAGCTCAGCAATGAGTCAAAGCCAGGTAAACCTCAGCATCTGTGTTTGGAGCCTGACTGTACGAGTACCTACCAGGAGCGTCCACCGCCTACAGCAGGGACAGAATCTTGGTATTAAAAAGCAGCTGTTTTGGTTAAACTAAAATCAATGATTCCCAAACTCACCATGTTTCCAACGTCAAACATAAAGAAATGATTGGACTGGCAGAGATTCAATATTTTTATAATAAATAACAGCCACGGTTAGGTAGCAGGCACGACCACCCAAGGCATGTCCAATTTTGGAAAATCTAAGATTTCAATTGCTGTGGTGTGGAATTACTGCTTCTGCATTCCCGAGACAGCTGGCAAGCTCATCACAGATCTTGGACCCTGCTCTGGAGTCCCGTCTCTCGGACAGAGTCATTAGGAGAGCTTTCCTCCCAATGTGTGAGCAGAAAGCCTGTGCACTGGGCCTCCCACGGCACCTGGTGCGGGGCTTTTTATTTTTGCTCAGCGAGAGCTCAGCTAATCCTCGTGAAATGAGTGAATTGAGTGGCTATTTAAAACTCATCGTGATGAAAGGTGTCCCGGACTGTTTAGCAAAGAAAGCCGCCACCCTTACCGTCTCCACGGCAGCCAGCTGGAGCTCGGTGACGGCAGCGTACAGCTCTTTCTTTGAGAGCTGATTGCGGTGGTAAATGTCACAGAGGAAGTCCGCGCTGGGCTGCTCCGCGTGCTTCTCTAACCGGCGGTCAATGCAAGATTTGACTGTTGAAGAGAAGAGGGAGAGGAAGTCAGCTGAACATTAGGGTGAGGAAAAGAACGGGAGGGAGGGAACCTAAGATGAAATCCTTACAACACCCGAAAGGGCTTTTGGGGACATTGATTGTTAGATGAGTTCCTACGGCCTCGTTGAGTCATCCAGGATGGATGGATGCTCACGTGACCTGGGCATCTTCCTACAATGCAGACTCGGAGCTGAGGGTCCAGGTGGCCTGGACGTCTGCATCTCTAACAAGCTCCCAGGTCATGCTGCTGCTGCTGATCTGTGGTCACATCTTGACTAGCAAGAGCTTAGAGGAGGGAGGAGACCATTATGACACAGGTGGGATCTGCGTCCGCTCTCAGAATCAGGCCCAGGTGTCTAGCTGATATGGTCATTGATACAGACAGGCATGCTAATATAGGGTGTGGCTCCCAAATCTTGGCTCTGGAGGAGGGAAGAACACCCTCCCCTAATGCTATCACTCACACATACACACACACACACACACACACACACACACACACACACACACACGTGCAGTGCCCATGAATGTTGACAATAATACTAACATTTTCTAATGTTTGTAAATTACATTCTAGGCTGTGCTCCCTCACTTCAGTCCCTGACGTGAGCCACCACCACGGAAATAATAGTGGTGATGGTGGCGATGACAATGACCACACTAGTGGTACAGGGGCTGGAGGCTGAGCTGCGGGAGCCTTTCTGATTGGCTTCCAGCCCTGGCTTTGCCATCACCGGGCGTGTAATGTTGAGAATGTTACTTAACTCATTGGTGCCTCAGTTCTGTTAGTACTTGGGGCTGATGGAAGTATCTAACATACGTTTATTTGGTGGGAATTAAATAAGTATGTTTAAATATATATAATATATTATCTTAGGATAACCCCTAATATTCCCTCCACAATGTAGCAGAAATGGCGCTGATCCATTGAGATACTGTCATATGCCAGGCTTTTACAATCTCTATATTAGACCTAGAAACAATTACATTGAAGGGAGCGCTATTATTATTGTTGTTGCTGCTATTGTTGCTGTTGTGAGCCTGTTTTAGAGGTAAGACAGCTGATGATGAAAAGGAGACAGCACCCTGGGCCAACCTGCCACCCCAAGGACAGACCGGGAGCTTGAACCCAGGTATCTCTGACTCCAAGGCTCTCGCTTTTAACCACTTCTAGTTCCCCTAGACAACACAACGCCGCCTCCTGCCTTTTCCTTGGAATTTGTCTACACCAGGGTGATCCCCACACTTGTGTTTGCAAAGCCCGAAAGAATCAGGAGGAGCAACTCCATCGGAGGATCTAGGGGGGCAGGCCACAAGGTCACTGCAGGCCTCTGGGCGGCAGGGGAGACAGCGCTGGGTGTGGCTGTTACCTGACTTGAAAATCGTGTCCCAGGCCAGCGTGTGGGCCTGCCACACCTTGGTGTTGAGGCTCTTGTGCAGCTCCACCGGGGTGACCATCATCCTCCCAAATGTGCTCATCATCTACGAGGAACACACGTGCTTTTCATCCCTGTTTCTCTCCCAGACAACTTGCACTCTGGCCTAGGGGCATCTGCACACGGCACCCTGTGCTCCCCAAAGGCCAGAATTCAAAGGACACCCCCAGGCCCGTGTGCTCTGCTCCTGGAAGCCGAACCCCCATAACATATTCAAAATCATCTTTGGGAAGATTGATTTTTCAATGGAGTTTAATAACAACTTGCTCTTATAACCCACATGTTGAGAAAGAAGGGGCCCAGCTGGCGTGGCTCAGTGGTTGAATATTGACCTATGAACCAGGAGGTCATGGTTCAATTCCCAGTCAGGGCCCATGCCCGGGGTGCGGGCTCCATCCCCAGTGTGGGGAGCGCAGGAGGCAAGTCGATCCATGATTCTCTCTCATCATTCATGTTTCTCTCTCCCTCTCTGAAATCAATACAAATATATTTGTAAAAAATAAGGAAAAAGTAACTATAACTTACACTCACTTGAATTTCTGAACTTCTGCCATTCCCATGCCAGTTTCACAGTATCTATTATATCCACACACGACTCAAATGATTCAAAACTTTAAAATCTGAACAGTAATTTAATCAACTGACCTTTAATTGACCCACCTACTTTCACTTTGCCTAAACAATGGTCTAATGTACTTCTTTATTGTATGTGCACAGGGGCACATCCATGCCCGAAAATACATCGCACACACTGAAATGCACTATTGTAATAAGACCTGAGTGCATGCCCTCTTGGGGAAACTGCGATGCCTGAATGATCTGTTGGGAACACGGCGCTCTCCCCTGCGGATGCTCACTGTTTTGATGGCCATGATGAAGTTCAAGGCTTCATCCCTGGCGTTCTTCTGGAGGAGCCCAAATCTCTTCTCGTAGAGCACAAGGCAGATGCCTGTTAATAAAATAATGACCACTGTTACCCAATCTGGACTCCGCGACTACCTGACTGCTAAGGGCTCGATTCCATCTCTCAGAGACATGAGGTCATTTCTAAGGACACAGGAGTAGCAAAGGGTCTGAGCGTCTGATCACCCTTCTAGAAATTATCTGCGGGTCCAATGACCCAGGCTCCGCAGAACCTCCTGGTCAGAAATACCACTGTGCAAATGTAGCCATTTCTATACATGAATGAATCTCTCCTGTACGTCTTGCTTTTGTCAGAGTTTATCATTGACATCACATGTAGCAGACATCGTGAATGGCCTACCTGGTACTCGTTCTCCCTCATTTCTTCCCTAAGACACCCCGATTTTATTTAGGGTGTCAGAGTACCAGTGCTCAGGCAGTGAGTCAGCATGGATCTAAGACTCTGACAAGCCTGTTCCCTGATTCTTTTCCTGGAGCCACCAAAGCAGCCACACCACCCAGGTCTGGCCAGTGAGACCAGAAGGAAATACTCCTTGGTTTTCTAGATAAAGTGGGGGCTGTACCCTCTTTTCTTCTCCCTTTGCCGAAAGGCAGAGGGGAGGCTGGAGGGACAGGACCCTTTTTGCATCAAGCCAACAAGTAAGGCTGGATGAGCGAGCAGATGCCCGAGCTTGGCTCCCCCGCGGTGTCTCTGAGTGTGGCCCGGGCTGCCTTCCTTTGGACTTCCCGCAAGGCTACACAGTAATTTTTAAACCACCGCAGTCAGATTCTCTTTGACTTGCAAACAGATGCATTTGATACTCCTTCATTTGAGTATTTACAGTGGGCAAGTTCCAAAACATATGCTTATTTTCTCCTCTATAATCATTCCCTCTCTTCACCCCTTTTTCCCTTAACACCTTCTGTGGGTTTCTTGTTTGCATGGAGCTTTCTCATGGGCTCAGATGACTGGTTCATAACTTTAAAGTGAGGTGACAGGTCAGGACAAAAGCTACCATCTCGGGATGCCGTGTCCACTCCCTCCCATCAGTAGCCAGAGTGACCCTGGCAGCAAATCAAATCATGCCACCCTCCTGCTAAAAGCACTTACTGTCACTCCCAGGTACTCCCAGGTTCAAAGTCAAACTCTGTCCCTGGTTTACGTGGGTTTGCATGGCTGGCTGCTGCCTTCCTCCCAGCCATCCTCTGCCTCGCCCTGCCCCTCCCTCCCTCCCTCCCTTGCAGGATATGCCCCGGTCGTTCTAAATGCTTTCCTGTTCCTTCAACATAATCTGTGTTTCTCCACCTGGAACATCCCTCCTTCCCTCACTCTCACCTGGCGAACTCCTCCTCCCACACTAGCTGCGATGGCACCTACTCCACAGAGCACCCCCAGACGGAGCTCAGCTGCATCCCTCTGGGATTTGCCCACAGCCCTGAACCTGCTTAGTCTATTGAAATTGCCTTGCCTGCACCCTACTGGGCAGTGAGCTCATCCAGGCAGGGCTCTGCTTCTCATTCTCAGATCCAGCCTTGAAGAGAGTGCTTACATCCCCTTCTGTTTAAAAGTCTCCTTGGCACCCCAATCGGACTCAAACTAAAGTCCTTGCCAAGACCTATAAGCCCTGGCTTGATCTTTCTCAGCTGTTCCTCCCCCTGTAATCCGCTCACATCAGCATCTCAGAGTTCCTCAAAGGCATGTTCATGCTTCTGCCCCCGGGCATTTGCACTGCCTGTCTCTGCTCTCTGGGACAGTCTTCCCACAGATACCTCTGCGGTTGCACCTCTCCTTCTTTAGGTCTCAGCTCAGGTGTCTCCTTACCAAAGCGGAGTTGCCCCATCGAGGCACCTATGTTCTTTCTTGGGCCCCTTTCCCCTTGGCAGAGTCTAAATTGAAATGTGTTTACTTGTCAGTTGTCACCCCTACTAGAACCCAAGCTCCATGTGAGCAAGGATGCTGCCTGTTTTACTCAATGCTGCGTCCCTAGCACAGTGCCTGGCACACAGCAGGTGGTCAGTAAGTGTTTGTCGAGTGACCACACAAACAGCCCAGCGTGCAAAGCAGAGCTGCAGTGCGGAAAACATTAAGACGGCTGCTGTGGCCTTTCCCACTCAGAATAGTACACGATTCCAAAGAGTTGTCAGCTTGTTCGCAGAGCCACGTTTTATTCTCAGAATCACTTGCAAGGTCAAATGGTGGAGACCATGGAGACCACTTACTTTCAAATGACCATTTGTTCAGCTCGCTGTACAAGTCTCCAATGTGGCCTCTCTCGTCACAGAGCTCATCTAGTCTACCCATAAAATCAGCCAAGACCTGAAGAGAAAGAACCACAAAAACACATTTTAGTCTTTGAGGGAAAACAAAAAATGTAGAGCAGCGAGCTAACCTCAGGTCTCGCTACCTTGTGTATCCCCTGGCCAGACGTTACCCCTCTACAGCAGCACTAATTCTATATTTTCCTGGGGAGCTCACCTGACACCCTAGCAACCTTGTCCTGGTTATTTCCTCAGCGTTTCCTGTGGCCACCCTGAAGCTAAGGTTTCAGCCTTTGATCTAAATTTAAAGAAAGGAAAACATTTCTTCTAATCAGAACGGGGAATAAACCACAAAGGGGACCTCAGTCAAGTGTCACTGTTGGCACACCATCTCAAAGGCTGTGATGCTGTGACTACCCTGAGGTTTGCCGTTTCCATATCTGGGCAAGCAAACCTCTCTTTACTGATTGGTACTGTGTTAGGCGTGTTGAACTTGGAGCCAGGAGATCTGCAATTCTGGACGCAGCTCCCTCGCTAAATGGCTCTGTGACCTTGGACGAGTTATGTAAGGCCATTAGATGCCAGTTTCCAAAATCAGAGCTTCGGATGACTAAAGCCTCTCATTTCCCGAGGCTTCCATAGAACCACGCGCTGTACAAAGGGATGTTTTCTTAGCTGATCCTTACAATCTTGTGAGGGAGAACGTCCTGTCATTTCTCCCATTTCCCAGGTGAGAAAACAGAGGCGTAGAGAGACGCAAGGCACCGGCCCCTGGACACAGAGCTGAGAAGCACCTGTGCTGGTCCTGGAACAAAGCCTGTGTGCCTACCCAGCCCACCATGGAGACAAGGATGTTAGGTTGCTCACATAGTGCATTCAAATGTATTCAAATTAGTTACCATAAAATTTAGAGATTTCGCGTGAACATATCGATTTTCCACTACTTGTCCATAACAATAAGAATAAGTAATTACAGGGTCTGGTGACACCATGTCAGCATTCCCATGGGGCAGTCATTTGCTGGAACTGGGACAGCTGTCACCTCCAGGAAGGGCTCGTGCTATTCTGGTGGCTGAAACCCCTGCAGGGCCTGCCCTATGCGTTTATATTAATTACATGGCCCCTGGAACTTCTGAACCTGCCCTCTTTCACCCACACAATCTATGTGGGTCCACGCTCAGTTCAAAATGAACACCCAGAGTGAACATGAAGAAAAAGAGATTATTATGCTTAAATCCCTTCCCTTTCAGCCCCTGTTGGCTAAATGATATGTCCAAATACCTTAGCACGGCACAGACCTGCCTTCTGTCCAGCATCATTTCAGAAAAGGCCCATGCTGAATGCACTATTCTCTCAGAACTCAATGCTATGCCATGCCCTGGCTCCATATTTGCATCAGGCTATTCTTTCTGCCAGAATGCCTTTCTCCACCTTCTCTGGCTTGTAGACTCCTACTCATCCTGCAAAACCCAGCTCAAATGTCACTACCAGGGAACTTCATAAGCATTCTCTCCTTCAGTCATCACAGCAAACCTGTGGAGTGAGAATTGCCACTCCCATTTTATAGATTGGGAAACTGAGGCTCAGGGAAGTTAAATGGTCAGGTTACATGGGGTGGACGGCTGATGCTCAAATCCAAGACTGTGGGATACAAAAGTCTGTGCTTGTAACTACTCCCTTAATGCGACATTTCAAAGAAAGGGGAGAGAAGGGGGGAATAAAGGCTTTGGGGGAGGAAAACAGGAAGAGGAATGAGGAGAACGTGAAGCCCCTGAGTCATCCAAAGTGCCTGCTTTGCCCTCTGCACTTTGTAGCTGTGACTTACAAACACCCCTCCCTCCCCAAGAGACCCTGGAAAGCTGGCCCCAGCATACAAACCTCATTGATTTTGCTGTCCAGCCTCATAATCTCCACTGGTCTCATTAGTTTCTTCTGAAAGGCACTCCGGACCCTCTGCCAGTCTTCTCCTTCCCTGGGAGAGAAATCTGTTTAGAACAAGTTGCAAAGACCAGAAGGAAGAGGCAGAGATCCCGCCCACCCCAACTCTGCTACTGCATGAACTGTGTCATCAGATCAACACTGAGCATCAGCCAGGAAGTGCCCGGGTTCTGTTCGCACTGGGGTACTGGGGCTGGCTTATGATAGAATGAGAAAGTACCTTTCCTCCCGGCCAAGGAAAGCACCAGAAAGGTGACATCCAGATAATGTGGGGTCAGGCCTGTGGAGGTGTCCTTACTGGGTTTGAGCTGAGAGGCCAGGCACCTCAATTCCCAGCACTGAGAGTGGGTACCTGAAGACCCCCCCCCACACACACACACACACACACTGAAACCCAGGTCTGTTTGAGGAAAGATCTTGTCTTCTTTCAACCCATTGACTTGGGTTGCAAGTCACACTTACGTAACACCTCAGATTTAGAATCTTGCCATTGCCTGCACATAATGCCAGACAGCCAGAGAGCCGCAGGCTTTGGAAAAAGCCTGTTCCATCAGGCTTCCTTTCGCACTTGCCCACAGCTGGTGACATGGCCTGTGGTGCATCTAGAGTCGCTATGCTTTTTAATTCCAGTAATTATCTCCCCCAAATATAACTATTAGACATTAAATTTGGGGGCAAAGAAGTGCTAACTTGTTAGATGGTAACAATGAAAAAGCAAAGGAATCACATCACATTATAGCGTTTATCTATCAAAAATGCAACCTTGACACTCCTGCTCACCCCACCTTTCACCTACACCTAGGTCATCACCTCCACTCCCCTCCGGGAAAAAGGTCACGGTCAAAAGCGGAGGAAGTTAATTTCTGGCATGTGAGCTTCCCAGAGGGGGTTACAGAGAACTTCAAGGGCTAGCGTAGTTTGTATAACACGTTTGCTTGGCATGCTGACTTCAGAACCCCATCCCGCCACAATTTGTATAACGCCTTTTGGCATTTGTCTGACGAAAAGCTTTGGCCCTGCCCGGTTGCCAGAGAGAACAGGTGTTAAGCGGGTGCGCAGTACAGCTGTCCCTCAACCCACTCAGGTCTACCAGGAGGACGCGACTACTGGGTAGCGGCTTTCGTGTCCTCTGCCTAAGAGGGGTCCAAGCAAGCTCTTCCCAGTTTCCAAGCGCATTAGGCGCAGTTGCCAGCCCCATGGCCCCACCCTGCCCCCCTCCCCGCCCGCAGACTCACAGGATGAGCAGCCCGTAGGCCTCCTGGCGGTAGTCGCGATAGGCTTTCCAGGGTTTGATCTCCAGCCGCTGGGGGTACGCGCTCTCCGTGCGGTACAGCGCTTCCAGCAGGCAAGGCGAGCCCAGGTGCACCGAGTCAAAGGAGCCCAACTTCATGCGGAAAATCTTGCCGTACTTCTTGTGGAACTCCGCCTGCAGCGGGCCGGGCACAGCGCCAAGTCAGCGCGCATCCCTGACAGTCCCGAGCGCGCTACTCCCCGCTCCCGCCTTCCTCCTCCCGGGAAGCCCAGACACCGGGGCGCACCATGCGCTCGGGCAGCGCGCGCCTCGGGGAGGGTTTGGAGCGCCCGCCCGGCAAGGGAGAGGGAATTGGGGCGCGACGAGGCATTTACCAGAGTGTCGTGCTGTTTCTTGAGCCCCCCTTTCCAGAGAATCTCCAGCAGGCTGCCCAGCAGCGGCCAGTTGGTGGGGCCCGGAAGGGCGGCCGCGTTCTGCGCCTCCCCACGCTCCATCAGCGGGCAGAGGGGCACCTCCCGCGGCCGAGGGGGCGCGCACGCCGTGGATGTCACGGGTCTGGGGGGCTGCCCGAGGCTGCGCAGCTGCTGTAGGAAGGCGACCAGGGAGCGACTCTTGCTGATAGGGGAGCTCATGGCCGCAGGGAGACGGGGCGCGGGGGACCACGCGGGGACCGAGGAGGGCGAGGCTGGTAAAGTGGCGCCCGCTGGGTTCGGGAGCGTGGCGGTTGTGGGAAAGAGACAAGGAGGACCAGCAGGTGCGATGGAGGGGGCGGGAGAGGGACAGAAAGGACCTGGGCGAGGATGCTCTGCGCTGCGCTGTTCTGCAGCCTCAGGGCGCAGGTGACTGCCCAGGGCGGCCTCAGAGGCGGGAGGAGGGCAGCCGGGTCGGTGCCTCTTGGAAGACGGAGGGAAGGGATGTGGGTCTGCCTGTGGGTCTGCAAGTCTGACTTCCGGGTCCGGAGCCGCGAAGTGGAGATGTCAGGGAGGGTAGCGGAGATGGGAGATGCCTCGGGCTCTGCGGTTTTCCCTGGCCCTCTCCACGATCCATGCCCGGGGACCAAGTATTTATGGAGACAGGCAGGCCCCGGGTGGCCAATGAGCACGCCGAGTGGGGCGGAGTGGGCCCTGGCTTGCCTGGCCCGGAGGGACGCGGGACCCGGGGGAGGGCGGGCCCGGCGAGGCTGGAAACAGGATGGAGTCAGCGAGGTGAGCGAGGGCGCCCGCGCCTCGGGTGACCGGTGCACTGCTCTCCGGGCGGAGCGCGCGGACTCCACCCCGGAGATAACCCCGGAGGCGCTGAGCCGGGAGGTCACCGGGTGTGCGCCGGCCGCCTCCCCGCCCTCCCCGGCGGGCGGACTGGTAGTGGCAGCCCCGCGCTTGCACAATCGCGCTGCTGGGCTGGCGGGCGGGCGGCGAGGTCTCCGAGTGCGGGCCCGGGAAGGCTGCCGGCGCCTGTCGGGGCCAAGAGCCGGTGCGCCTCTGGGGCGCGGGTTCATGCCACCCTGGATGGCATCTTTCCGCAGGGAGATCGGGAGGCCCAGCATCTACAGAGGGGATTTCGCCTTTGGGTCTTGGGCACGGAGGGCCAGCTGAGTTTGCAGAAGTTCCACCTGCTGTTTCACTTTGGTTGCCATGAAGATTTCATGAATCAATGCAAATAAAGCGCCTCCATTGTCCATGGCCAGCCCTCCACGTAGTTGCTACCTCCTTAGGCGCCTGGGAAATGCGCCCGAGAGCGTGGCAACTGAGGCTGACCTACCTCTTTCACGCCCTTCCCCCACCCGTTTTGGGACGCCCTGGGCCAAGGATAGGCACCTGCAGCCTCACACCACAGTCCCTGCCATGCCATCCCCGCCCATCCCTGCAAAGACACACCCCCCCCGCCCCGCCCCCCCCCCCCCCACACACACACACTTTCTAGTCACCCTGGCTGGTACGAGTAGAACTTTCCTTACAAATTCGGGAAGAGAAGTGGAGATTTTTGTAGATTATTTGGAAGTGGCTCCCCAAGAACTGCCGCCCCAGGGAGGGGCCAGGATGCTGGTTTGTCAGCCTCTTGCCTGGGTCCTGACCGGGTGCTGGCCAGTCCTTCCCCCGCAAGTTTATGGTCAGCTCCCAGTTTGTTACTGGAAAACCTTCACAGTCCAACTTGAGCTTGAATACTGTCCTTTCAGATTTGTCCTAGGAGGTTAATGACTGTTAATTAAAATAATAGCTTATATTATACACTTTAGATATGTGGTATATCTACTTATGTAGATACATACATATATATACAGACTATGTAGTACATATTATATAGCATATGCTAAAGATATACTACAGGGGTGGGCAAAAGTAGGTTTATGGCTCTGAGTATGTGAAACAAGTTTATTCTTGTATTATTTATTAATTATTATATCATTTTCCATATAAACAATTGTAAACTTCCTTTTGCCCACCCCCTGTATATGCAACATACACTCTATGTTGCATAACATATGTTATATAGTATACCAATGAAAGCTTTCTAGGGCTTATGATAAACCAGCCACTAAGCCAGACATTTTACCTAAATTTTCCCATTTAGTTCAGCCCAACAACAAAAAAATCAATGAATAAATAAAATGAAGCTTAGAGAGTTAAGTAATTTGCCTAATGTCGCAGACCTTACTTTTGGCTCATGTGGGATTCAGACCCAGATTTTAAATTCTAACCTAGGCCCTTAATATACACCTCCATATACACAGAGCTATAGCACATCGCCTTTTCTTAAGCCAGGAATATCTCAGAATATTGGAAATATTCCTTAAGTGGGACTATCTCTCCGAGGTGGGCGGGTTCAGTATGTGTGGGGCTGAGGTGGAAATGTTTATGTGCTAATGGTAGTAAAAGAGAAGGGCCCCAAACAGGAGATCTATGTAGCTCGCCACTGCGTGCCTTGCTTTTGGCAGCGGGTTGGCACATAGTACCTGCTCAGTAAAGCATCCCTCCTCTTGCCTGCCAGCTGCTGAGTCATCACCCCTCTGGGTTCTTTTCTTTCTTCTTCTCTCCCAGGGAAGCTTAGGGAGAAAGGGACATATTTTCATACTTGCTGGTTTTTCACTTGAGCTGAGATGTGCTGTTTTATAAACGCCAAGCAGATGCTTGGAAAGGCAGGCAATCATTAGTCTCAGTGGCACGGACATCCCTGTTTCAGGGAAATTGGTTTCTCATGTCCAGTGGAGGAAGTCCCCACTGACTATACACTGGATCGCAGAGGGCAGCAAGGCCGGTTCTTTGAAGCTTCGTTGACATCAACACACACCCACCTTTGAGGAGGTGCAGCTAAATTCAAAATGACGACTCGGAGCCCAGACCCAGCCCTCACTCTCCCTCACTTGGCGGCTCCCCTGGCTCACTACTTAGGCTCTGTGAGTCACCGCCAGGGATCCTGCCGGGAATTACTGATGAGAGATCCCGAGTGTCTCAGAAGTGGCCGCCATCATTACTGAGACGGGCCCAGGCCCTGCTTGGTTCTGGGAAATCTTACCAAGACCTGAAAGGATAATTATACTCCGGCCCTCACACCAGTGACCGCCGGTGACAAAGTGTCTGTGCGTTTGCATGTGTGATGAGGGCAGGGCGGGTGGAGGAGTCCGTGGAAGGGCTGAAAACACAAAACTCTTTCAAAAAGCTCCAACAGGGATAAAGTTCTGTGCATTGAAGTTTTGGAGAATCTTGGGTGTGAGTCCTAGACCTGCTTTCGGGTTGTGGAAACTTGGAGACTTACTCTCCACATCTGTGGAAGGGGCAGTGTTGGAACCCACCTCAGTAAAGCTCAAGCTTCCTGGAAATAGGAGTCATAACAGTAGCCTACTCCCTGGGGTTGCTGTGGGAATAACACACACACAGCAATGTGCTCTGTCAATGTTACTCCATAGCGTCACTGCATCGCAGGCCCGGGTTTTTGCAAACTCCATCCAAGAGAAACAACTAAGATGTGTCAATTACTATTTCTTGTGTTCAATTTATTACTGCAATTTTGACTCAGGAAACTGTATCCTATATAATAAAGAGGTAATATGCTCATTTGTCTGTTACAGTGTCCGAGTCACGACCAGTCAACGGGCTGCACACTCCCAGGAGGTGGGACTTCCGCACCCACTGGAGGCTCGCCCAGGCCTGCCCAGCACTAAGGTCCCGCCCAGTGCTGAGGTGACGCTGTCTGCCCGCATCCCTGGCCAGGGACATGACGCTGCCTGCCTGTGTCCCTGACCTGGGATGTGACGCTGTCTGCCTGTGTCCCTGACCTGGAACGTGACGCTGTCTGCCTGTGTCCCTGATCTGGAACGTGACGCTGCCTGCCTGTGTCCCTCACCTGGGATGTGACGCTGTCTGCCTGTGTCCCTGACCTGGGATGTGACGCTGTCTGCCTGTGTCCCTGACCTGGGATGTGACGCTGTCTGCCTGTGTCCCTGACCTGGGATGTGATGCTGTCTGCCTGTGTCCCTGACCTGGGATGTGATGCTGTCTGCCTGTGTCCCTGACCTGGGACTTGATTCTGCCTGTGTGCATCCCCCCCAGTGCAGAGCTGCTCTGGTGTCTCGGTGAACTTTGCAACTGACCCAAGGAGGAAACCGAGAGGGGAGAGGCTGGGACCTGTGAATTCCCAACACTTTAGTCACTTGAAAACAGCTCCGCTTGGAATGCAAGGCGGCTATACGTTCAGCCGAGAAGTGAGGGGGCTGAACAGCTCGTCGCTGGGCTCCAGCGGGTCCGAGGCCCAAGTGCCCACCATGAGAAGGAAAAAACAGAGGGAGGGGCCTGGAGGAAGGGAGGGTAATCGAAGGAAACGTGTCTAGACTTTCCCCAGCCCTCTCCTTCTTTCCGCTGCCTACAAAAGCCCCAGGCTCGGCCACAGTTCTGTGTCCACCTTTTAGTCCCCTATTCTCCAACCACAGAGGAAAGAAATAAGGAAGGAGTCCATGCTGCCTCCAGAAAGTATCTATATACCTGATCGGCCAGTCGCCTCCCGCAGAGGGAGGCCAGACTGTGGCTTAGGCCCGCTCCCCGTGGGACATCCATCAGTAGGACATCCCATGAGGGCTCCCAGAATGTGAGGAGGGGCCAGCCAGGCTGAGGGACCCCCACTCCCCCGTGCACGAATTTTCATGCACCGAACCTCTAATAATTAGATAAAGCCAAAGGCAGGTTAGCAAAGAAATGCTGGTGGGTTCCCTCTCCAGCTCAGCCACCCAGGAGCCAGACAAAGCAGGGGGAACTCCCTACCAGCCTCAGGTCTCCCATCTCCAAATGCAGGTGAAGGTGGTGCCTTCCCAGCAGGATTTTTCTGAGATGACCAAGCATTGGAGTCCCTGGCAGACAGTAAAGGCTCTAACATGTTATCATTAATGTTATTAAGAGCTACAGGAATTGGGCCCTCAAATATTCAGGTCATTATCTCTATTACATGGGCCTTGCTTCCTCTGATTGATTAGATGAAAACCTCCTTGAAATTCCAAACATTGTCTCTTAATTTTGTCTCTCCTAGTGCTGTTTACCTTGGCCAACACCCAATACAGCAAATGATAGCCAGCTGATTATTGATTATTTCCTCATTCCCAGTGAAGGGAAAAGGAGCAGTGCCAATACATTCTTTGTTTTCTGGGGAAGAAGTTGTTGCAGATCCTGGAGGGTGATTTGTGTGTCACATACACAGGAAGCAACTCGACACAACAACAATATCAGTTTGGGCTTCGACAGCTTGAGTTGAAGCCGTGGCTCCGCCACTTGCAAGCTATGTGTCCGTGGGTAAGGTATTTAACCTCCCTGAGCCTAGGTTCCCTGTTCATAAAATTGGGGGTTCCTCTACCTGTCAGAAAGGTTAAGAGGAATACTGAAAACATCAGGTGAAACGCAGTTCACCACCGTCTTCGCAAACATCTGCTTGCCTCCTCTACTTGCTTGCTGATTTCTGAGTAGAATTTGGCCCTGTTGGTAAGTTAAGGTTATATTATGGAAAAATGTATCTTACATCCTCTGAAAACGCAGTGACATGCGGAGAACTTTTAAAAAGTTTCTTCATTAAAAGAGGTGCTCCACTTTAAAGGAGATGAAGA